AATAAGAAAACTAACAAGAGGAGGCCGGAAGCGGAGGCTGCACTCACACTGTCATCACCAGCAGCAATTCTGGGGAGGAAGAGGAGGCCGGAGGACGGGAGGATCGCTCGCGTACACGCGCTCAGCCGAGTTGGGCCAGAGAATAAAAACAAACAACCAACAACAAAAAAAAAGAAAAAAAAACAAGAGATGCGCCAAGCCCGTGCCCCGGCTCAGTCTTTTTGGGCCTACGACTTTCTTTGCACTAGAAGAATTTGCAGATTCTCACTCTTCCGCAGTCTCTCTTCTGCCGCCCCACCGGCGGTTTTGGGTTTTTTTGCAGGTCTCTTACTTCTCCCTCGAAGGGCCGGGCTCAAAAAAAAAAAAGAGTCTCCGAAAAAATCAAAACTACCGGCTCTGACCGCAGTGCCGGCTAACGCTCGGGAGGAGGGAGGCTGAGGGCAGGAGGCTGGCTGGAGGCCAGGAGGTGGGGCTGCTGGAGCGAGGCTGACGCCACGAGCATCTTGTCTCCAAAAAATGAAAATGAAAATTAAAATGAAAATAAATATGAAAATTAAAATGAAAATGAAAATAAAAATAAAAATGAAAATGAAATGAAAAAAAAAATGAAAATGAAAATAAAAATAAAAAATTGAACGACTTGCTCGTTTTCCGAGTTACAGCCTTCTGGAGTTTTTTGTGGTATTTAATATAATCATATTATATTTTTCCTTGGAGGCAGGAGAGGAGGCTGGGGCAGGATGGAGGTTTTCAGGGGGTTGGCACAAAAAAAAAAAAAAAAAAAAAAGGCTGTATTTATAGGGGGGTTCCCCCGAAACCCCGGGCAAAGACGGGGGGCTGGGTGGCTTCGGCCGGTGGAATGGGGACACCACTCACACCAAGCTTCGGGCCCTGAAAAGCCTCAAAAGTTCGAACAATCTGGGAGACATTTCCAGAAAATGTCGGCCGGGCACGGAGGCTCACGCCTGTCGTGCCCGCACAATGGGAGGCCGAGGCTGGAGGTCCGGAGGTCGAGGCCAGCTGAGCTCAGAGCGAGACCCGTCTCTGCTACTGAATAGCAAGAAATCAGCACTCTGGGAGGCGACGGAGGGAGGATCACGTGCTGGAGGTCGGGAGTTGGAGCCAGAGGATGAGCAAGAGCGATCCCCGTCTCTACTAAAAATAAATAGAAAGATGAGCTGACAACTAAAAAATATATAGAACAAAAAAATTAGCTGGGTCTGTAGTCCCAGCTAACTGGGAGGGAGCGAGGCGGGAGGCTGCTGGAGGCAGGATTGGAGGCAGCCTGAGCCAGAGCGGACCGTCTCTACCTAAAAAAAAAAAAAAGAAAAATAGAAACAATATTGGCCAACTAAAAGTATATAGAGAAAAAATTACTGGTTCTGTATCCCAGCACTGGGAGGGGGCCGAGGGGGGAGGCTCGCTTCGAGGTCGGAGTTGAGGCCAGCCTAGCAGAGCGAGACCCGTCTCTACTAAAAAAGAAATTAATTGGCAACTAAAAAATATAGAAAAAAAAAAAACGAGCCGCGGGCGTGAGGAGCGCCCATTCTTCCCAGCTCCTCGGAGGGAGCCGAGGCAGAGGGCTCGCTGGAGGCCAGGAGTCGAGGCGCCGTGGAGCGAGCCGACGCCGGGCGCTCACTACTCGGCCGGCACACGAGCGGACTCTGACTCAAAAAAGTAAAAAAAAAAAAAAAAAACGAAAGAAAACAGAAAATGTCATTTCCTTCCGTTGACCAGCCCTGGCTGGAAGCGGCCACCCTGCGATGTCCCCAGGTTGCATGGCAACCGGCGCGGGGTCCACCCCTCCACCTCACCCCGGGCTGGGTGAACAGCTGTTTTACAAAAAAAAAAAAAAAAAGTCAAAGGACCCTCCCCACTCGCAACCCGGTTAATGTCACCTTCTCCAGATGGAGGCCGGATGGGAGGTGGCTCCTCAAGAAGAAAGAAAAAAAAACAAAACAAACCCGCACAAAACAAAAAAACACAAAAAAACGGACAATTGGGGACGGCAGCTCCCTGTCCCAAGTCCCAGTCTATTGCCCCGGGCGACAAGAGCAAATAAATCACTTTTCTGTCCTCGGCTCCTTTTTTTTTTTTTTATTCTTCTAGAAAGGGGCAGCCTTTCTCTCCGTCCTCCCAGCCTCCCTGCCTCCTCTACTTGGCCTCTATTCTGGGAAAAATTGGTCATATTTTTTTTTTTTTTTTTTGGCTTTTTTGGCGGGGGGCTCAAAGTCTCCAAAGGCCGGCCTGGCCTCCCTGCCTCCTCTTGCCGCTCTAGACGTCTCTGGAAAATTGTGTCTTTTTTTTTTTTTTTTTGGCTATTTTGGCGGGCGTGAAGTTTCTAAAGGCCACCTGGCCTCCCTGCCATCCTACCTTCGGCCCCTTTATTGTCTGAAAAATTGTGTCCTCCTCCTCCTCGGCTCTACTCTCCCACGAAAAATTTGTGTCCTTTCTTTTTATTTCTTTTTTATTTTTTTGGCCTTTTTGCATTTTCCAGCAGCCGCTCACTCAAAGGCCGCCTGCCTTCCGCTGCCTACCTCTCAGCTCTACTCGTCTCAAAAAAGGTGTCCCTCCTTCTCGGTCCTCTACTCTCTGGAAAAATTGTGCCTCTTTTTTGTGTTTTTTTTTGGAGGAGGAGGACACAATTTTTCAGAGAATAAAGGCCAAGGAGGAGGAGGCAGGGAGGCCAGGCGGGCCTTTAGAGACTTCACGCCCGCCAAAAAAGCCAAAAAAAAAAAAAAAAAAAATTTAAAAAAAAAAGACAGGGATTGGCGTAAAACAACCACCTACACTGACCCCTACCCCTGTTGGAAAATGCCAGAAAAAAAAAAAAAAAAAAAAAAAAAAAAGACACAATTTTCCAGAGAGTAGAGGCC